TTTTACACTCGTGCAGTATACAGGTCCTTGATGGAAGACAGATTGGTGGTAATTGTTTTTGTTGAGGACTTGGTCACAATAAGCATTTGAGTAATCTGATGGGTTGTGTTAAGAATGGGGAAAAAATCAGAAAGAAGTCTAATTTAATTGAAAATGAAATAAATGAAGTCCATATGAATGCCCCTCCCCATATTTTAATCATTTCCATTACTTTGGGAATGGCTTTGAGAGGCTGCATTCAAGATTTTGAGGAAGACACATTTTTGTGGGCCTCCCTATTCAGCACCTTTAGCTTAGTATTTCTCAACCTTGGCAAGTTTTAAGATTTGTGGATTTCTATTCTCAGCCAACTGGGGAATTCTGGAAGCTGAAATCCACATCTGTTAAAACTGTGAAGATTGAAAAACACTCAATACTGAGGTTATCCTTCCCTGGAGGAAACAACTTTGCCCCAGTTTTGTAGCTACTATTCTGCCAGTGAGAAGTAGGGTTCCTCCCAATGTTTAGCTACTAGATTAATAATGATTGATTTATTGTGTGGTGCTAGGATTAACAGCTCAAGAAGTCAAATCACCTTCTCACAAAAGCAGGCACTTGCTCAGGTGGCTTGCAGCCAAGGATTAGCCTTTTCTGTTGGCATGTAACCCAACTTATAAATTGGAGTCAAGGCTAGTCCTCATTCTTGAATTAGAGGGTCAGCATAAAAACCCGAGTCTCTGCTAGTGGAAGGTTTACCTGGAATAAGTAACTTCCCCCTCCATTTGAAAAAAAAATCCCAGATTTTTATTGTTCTTCTAGTCCACTGAGGTGGATGAGATAGCTTCCAGATAACCCATGTACTATTTCCTTATTGATGATAAGGAAGGATAAAAAATGGGGTGCAGGCTGAAAAGAGGAATTTTTCTTAAGCTGTTGTGCCTGAATACACCTATAATTTGATTGTTCAACCTTAACTTTCTCTTACTTTCTCTCTCTCTTTCTCTCCACACACAGTTGTGTGCATGTATGTGAGAATGTCTGCATGTAGCCACACAAACACATATATACCTACACAAAAAATATACTTATCTCCAGGAAGATGTTCCTACAAGAAGAAAAGCAATTGGCTACTGTTTTCCTGGAACAGAAAGCGGAAGGGGTACAGCAACAGGCCAGTTGTCCAGTAGAAGGATGTACTGCAGTGGTGGGATTCAATTTTTCTTACTACCGGTTCTGTGGATGTAGCTTGGTGGACATGGCAGGGAAAGGATACTGTAAAATCTCCAGTCAGAGGCGATATTTGCCAGTTCTCTGAACTGCTCAAAATTTCCGCTATCGGTTCTCCGGAACTGGTCAGAACCTGCTGAATATCACCTCTGATGTAGTGGCCTTCATCCAGATCAAATATATTACAAGCTGCTGCTAAACTGTCTTAGTCTATGTAGGATTTCCTTAAGCGAGGTTAGAATCAAGCTGACATAAGCACAGGACAAAAACATTTTAAATGATAAATTCAGATAAGTTCAGAAGAGCAGTTCAACAACTGAAGGAGCAGATTATTTATTTATCTGTTCATTCATTCAATTTACAAGACTGCCCACTGACCAGGTAATGGTGATGGTTATGATGATCCCATATAGGCTGAGTTCCAGTCCGAATGTATGGATCTTTGTTCTTTTTATTTCATTAAGTATTTTGAGAAACCATTCCATCTAAATCTTAATTTTAATTTTGTGACACTGGTGAATCTGAAGAGATATGGTTGCATCACATTGTCTGTACCATATGATGTATTAATTCAGCCTGACTTTAAAAAATAGCTTTCTGCAATGTAATAATGAAGTTTTGCAAAATTTCCTCCACCTGGATATATAGATATGGTATTTAGTCACAACCAAAACCACAGTTAAAAGTGATTCAGCTTTGGACAGAAAGGGATATTTTAGAAGTAGGATAGTTAATTGGAAAATTGTGGTTAAGAATGTGAGGTGCTTATTGCTTAGCAAATTGTCACATTTCTGTAAACAGTAAAATCCCTGAAGCGTGTGCATTTTTTGTTATCTAGGACCTGTTGGTTACCTAACTATATTTGACCAAGAGAGGGATAAATAACAGGCTCTGATATCTCTGATGTTATGAATGAAGCCACTTGAGAATGGAAAGAGTAATTGGTGACACGCCAGTAACATTTAAAAGTAAATGGGAATTTGTGTAAGTATAGTTTGATGACAGGTCACAGTGAACTATTGGTTTCTCTAATGGAATCTGATAATGACTTTGGAAGATGGGGTGGGGGCAAAAGATGCTGCCTAGGGAATGATCAGATAAAAGGGAAAGGATTCACCTTAATTAATCAGACCATTAAAAAGATGGTGGAAATTTGTACTGTTAGACTTACAAGATTATTACATAAATGTAGTCTTATAAAACAGTAGAATTAGCCCACCTTGTTACGTTTCCTGTCTGATCTACTTGGGAGGCTGACAGTTTCCAAGCAGTTGATATAAAGTCAGACTGAGGGATATCCTTTCTTTTCCATTTCTCACACTGGTCTGTCCTTTTCGGTATGCTTCTTCTAGATGTCCCAAAGGTGCTGTTTCAAGAGGCAATTGGGCTTTCTGTTTTTTCTTTGAAGATGTTTCAGCTGGAGAAACTTCTTGGATGAGAAATGAAATGCCTTCAAAGAAAAACCAGAAAGTCCAGTTGCCTCTTGAAAAAGCACCAGGGATAACCAGGACATGAATGATTGAGAATCTCCATAGACACTTTTCTTCTATATGTTCTTGTTAGCTAAGAAAGGTTATCAACAAGCTGGGAACAGCCTCCTATTTGAAGGGCAAATAATAGAGAGGGACAGGGATTAGAATAATTATAAATGCTAAATTTTAACAAGTACATAATTACATTACAGTGTAAGCATTAATATTTAAGAAATCAAATGGACACCCTACCATTAAAATATTTTTATGTGGCTCCCAGTATATTGTTCAAAGGCTGAAGTGGCCCTTGGATCATTAAAAGGTGTGCCTGGCTGCCTTTAAGGGGACTTTGGAGCAGCCAGGAGCTCCATGTTGGATGGCAGCCAATGCTCTGAAAAAGGACAACGCACACCTGTTGCTTGATCTCCCAACTTGATCAAAGGTCAACAAAAAAAGGGCAGTGATACACATTTTTAAAAAAATCAGTTGCATTGTCCCCATGAGGATAACAAGTAAACCTGTTGGGGCAAAAATGCCTGTTAGATTTATAGGCCATGCTGGTTGGAAATTGCAGACCAGATATGGTCTGAAGGGTGCTATAGATGGCTGCTACAAATTCCCATACATAAACTGCCTTGCTATTAGAAATTTTGGTTGAGTGTGTTGCCGAGAAAACTCATTGGTTTGCCCATGTAGTCTCTAGGGCTCAAGACAAACTTATAAAGGCAAAGTAACAAGAGTTGTTCTATGCGTTCTTGGCAAACAAAGGATCCCAAGGTCAAGCTTAGACACCATCCTAAAAAGTCCATCACCAACCTAGACAGAAGCAAGGTAGGAAGATCATAAGAGTACTTGAATAGTGTATTTTCTTTGGTCTTAGACACCACTAGAGGGAGCCAGGGCTTACAATTTCAGTCTCTCATAAGGGTACCGATTTCAATCCCTAATTCCTACACTGTTATTAATGTTGTTGAATAAACTATACATTTTGATAATGTGTTCACATGTTCATGAAGGCTACTTTTCATAGCCTTAAGGATGGCACAAGCCTCAGTAGCTTGGATCTTGGATTTGGGGGGGGACGGACTTCTTTTTGTAGACAGGCAGGGCTGAAATTCAGCAAACTGTTCTTTCACACAGTGGAGGCCATTTTTAGTGGTTCTGCTCTTCCCATATTGACAGTTGGGGAACCAAAGGAACTGTCATTGAACAAAGACATGAGTGAGTACTTTCTTCCAAGTGATTATAACATTAATTTTTGCATCAGAGGAAGGCAGCACCAAGGGGCCATACAGTCTATCCTCAAACTGGCCTTGGTGTTCCTGCTACCAAATTCTTCTATGGCATCCTTTCTTAAACTTTGCCCAGGGATTATGGAGTTAAAATGTGTTACATTGTCTTGGGCATCAAGTTTTGGTGTCCGCTCTTTAAGTATAGTTTCCCAATATACTTGGCCTCTTTTTAAAACCCAAGAGTATTTAGTTTACAAAATCGTAGCTGAAGTTTAGGTCTAGAACAGGAGTGTCAAATTTAAGGCCTGTGGGCTGAATCCAGCCCATAGGGTGCTTAGATCTGGCCCATGGAGCCACCCTGGAAACAGTGAAGGACCGGCCCACAGTGCCTCTGCCAGAGAAAACAAGCTCCCAAGCTCTGTTTTAGACTGTGATGCCTCCTGCAACCCTCTGCCAGTGAAAATGGAGCTTGAGAGGGCCGCGTAGCCACGCCCCCTGCCCCCCTCTCCCCGAGATCAAACACAACCCTGATGCGTCCTTCACGTAAATCAAGTTTGACATCCCTGGACTAGAACCACATTTCATTTTAATCTAGGTTCAAACAAATTTTTAAAATAACTATTTCTTATTTCAAGTGACAAAGCTGAAGACAAGTTAATAATACTTATGTAACTAATAGGGAAATAGAATCTAATAATAAAATAATCAGATTACAGGATTTGAAGCCATGTGATAGTGCAACTTTGCTGAAACTAAGCAGGACTAGATTCAGCCACTATTTGGCTAGGAGATTACATCGGACATGACTTCTACATCAGCAAGATTGAATGTTATTATGCAATAAAAGAGTTCTGCATATAAATGAAATGGTGGCCTTGTACCTCGTTATTGTTTTCTGACTTTTATCAGACAAGCATGTAATTTTCAAACAAGGTGGTTTACAGTATTACCTCTTTTCTTCTTTCAGTGTAATTATGTGGAACAAACAGTAAGAGGACTGGTGACATGACTTTGTTGGGCTAAATGAGCCTTTAAAAAAAGGAAGACTGCTCTCAACTGCCTTTAATGCCATGTTTCTTTCTTCCCTCAGCCAGATATCCAGCCATCAAATCTCTAATGGGTTCAGATCCCAACTTAAAATGGATTGTGACAGGAATGGTATTCACTCAGCTTCTTGCCTGCTACCTGGTGAGAAATTTAGCCTGGAAGTGGGTTTTCTTCTGGGCTTATAGTTTTGGGGGCTGCATCAACCACTCCATAACACTTGCAATCCATGATATCTCTCATAATGTTGCCTTTGGCAACAAGCAGGCCAGGTTGAATAGGTGGTTTGCCGTCTTTGCCAACTTGCCTGTTGGATTACCTTACTCTGCCTCTTTCAAGAAGTACCACATTGATCACCATCGATACCTTGGCGGAGATGCTTTGGATGTGGACATCCCTACTGATTTTGAGGGCTGGTTCTTCTGTACTCCATTTCGGAAACTAATCTGGATTGCCATCCAGCCATTTGCTTACAGTTTGAGGCCACTATATGTCAACCCCAAAGCAATTACTGAAATGGAAATATTTAATGCTTTGGTACAATTCTCTATTGACCTTGCAATCTATTATTTGTGGGGTTGGAGGCCTATTGTTTATTTAATAGCAGGAACAATCCTAGGCATGGGTTTGCACCCTATTTCTGGCCATTTCATAGCAGAACATTACATGTTTTTGAAAGGATATGAAACATATTCATACTATGGACCCCTCAACTGGATCACCTTTAATGTTGGCTATCATATGGAACACCATGATTTCCCCAGCATTCCTGGATCTAGACTGCCAATGGTAAGCATTAGTATTTCCTTCTTTCAATGTTTCAAATTGTTTGTGTACATTGCTTATTAAACTTCTTCAAAGTCCCTATTATGTCATGTGACAGGAAGAAAGAATAACAGAGTTAAAGCATGCAGAATGAAATAGTAAAAGACAGTTTATATAGCTTCTAACATCAAAATATGGTTTGGAATGAGAGGGAAAGTTATAGATATTAATGAAAAATACTGATTATCAGTGTGAAATCAGATGTATGGTAAATAAAGGTTCTTGTTTTTCCACTGGATTATAAATGAAAGGTCAAGTCAATATGGCTATTTTTGACACTTTCTTCTGTCCATATTTAATGAGAGGCAAAGGCAGATGAACATGTATCAATGTACATACTTTGAGACATATGCCATAATTTGGTTGCTCTTCCTCCTCATCTTCTTTTACATTTGTCCTCTTCAACTGACAGCTTCTTGATTTCATTTTGATTTCATTTATTGTTTTTAATGAAGAATTATTGGTGAATAATATATTCTCAAATCTGAACTGGTGATATATGCCAGGGTTGCCTTCTGTTCTGAGATACTTTTATACAAAATTGCATTAGTGTTTGGATCTGAACTTGTTCTCTATCTTTAGGTGATTCATCTGCACATATTTTTACACACCCCTCTGAAGGAAAATAGCACACCTCTGCCCTATATTGCATACCAACCCCTGCAAACAACCACATACACACATCCCAGTGTGTAATCTCCATGCCAGAATATTATTTGTATAACCTCTCTTAAAAAGTACCAAACTTTTGAGAATTAAACATTAATTTTTGCTTGTTTTATTAGACAAAAAAAATGAATACCTACGTAACTTTTCCACAATTTGCAGCACTGTGCAAATACAGAATCATTGCCTAAAGGGGATCTGCCTTGCCTCTGTGGTCCCTCCCCAAACCCCACACATGACATATGCACTCTTATATACTAATAAACGGGGGTTTGGAGCATGGATTGCACAATCAAAGTAAAAATGCATTATATTGTATTCTGTAGGCCCCCTGAGTTATTGTGTATATGTAGACTAATGAATCCATCCTTATATATTTCATTGTCAAATACTCTGGTCTGCCTCTTCATGATTATGTGTAGGTGGATTTTAGCTAGCAAGGAAGTCCTTTCTAACTTTGATCACTGTTGCTGTGAGACTTGTGTAAGCACCAAATGGTTGTAGACATTTGGCTTGTGATACACAGCGGGGCAGTTCTCTGACTGTGGCACCAGAATGACCATTTTGCAAATTCTGAATTTTGCAAATTCTTTGCTACTGCTGTGGTGGGCCTATTAAATTATAAAGCATTCATTTAGCAGAAAGGCCTAAAACCCGCTATCCTACCTATGTTCCTAGGCTGCCACTCCATTTGACTTTTGAAGGTCAGAAGGCACAGATCAAGCAAGGCAGGGAGGTGCAGCAATCCTCCCCTTGTCAGTCCTCTGGGAATGTTTGGATGTAGTTCTTGTAAACAGAGATAACGCTAAAAATGGACGCTTAGTTTTGCAACATGACAGCTTTCCATTTAAATTGGTTTAATTGAACCTGTTAAAAACGCCCTTTTATTTTAAAAGTAAACAACTTTATAAAAGATAAAGTTAAAGGGATAGCAACCTGGCATGTGTCAAGGGAATTGATGAGGTCTCCGCCATATTGGGAGCTGCGGGGTACCCCTCTCGGAAGCTGTTACAAACCATGTTTTTTCTAGTATGAGTTTCTGATTTTTGTTTAACACATTTGATTTTAAAGATTATTTTGTGAAGACTTTTATCACCCTTAACCATACCTTCAGTTTTGGGGAGTCTTAAACCATGTTATAACATGGATAGCTATTAAAGAAGTTACACACATGGGCAGGCAGTGGGAAATAACTTCTTCAACATTCCAATAATAAAATATAATGTGAATGTTATTTATTCAGTTGAGGGCGTGGGGGGGGGGGAAGCTCAGTTTGCATGTGGTGGAACTACTGCCTTGGTTTTTTCGAATCATCCCTTCAGACACTCTTGTCTTTGAGCACCTGCACCTTTGTTTACTCATTTATGGTGTAGGATAAAAGAGCAATCTAGCTTTGATCTTTTGGTAACGCTTCATCTTCACCGTTCCCTTCATAAGCCTTCCTGTTATGGAATGAAAGACCTTGGGAGACCCAGCAAAGAGACGCTGCCAAAGGAACCAGTCAGACAAGAGACAGCATAGCCAGCATCTGGAGGGGTGTGTGTCAAGAGGCTCAGAAGAAATTGGTGTTTCATACAGGATTAATATTTGTAACAAAATAGGTAACCTATTAAAGAAATAAGAGCCTGATGGGAGGCATTCTCATTCATTTAATTAGTGTTTTTACATAAATAGGAACAAACAAATCAATTTTTTTTTGAGAACATAAAAAACATTGAAATCTAGTCATTGTCCTAAAAAAAATAGCTTGGTTATTTTTATAAGCACCAAATAGCAAACACCTTTGGTGACTATTATTTTACTGCTTCAAGGTTACAAATGCCATTCGCCTCCCAAACACGCATGCAGACAAACATCCTTACTGTTTTCATTACACAGAAAAAAGCCCACACTTGCGTAAGATTTGTTTTTATGATTCTTCATAGCATATTATCTTTTCCCTGTATCTGTTCAATTTAGCTCTGATAACTAAAGGCTTACAAGTCCTATCATACTTTCCAGATTTGGAGAGGCTATGCATTCACAGTGCTATCCCTGGCATCTTGATCCTCATGTCAGAGCCTACTTTTCTAGTCCACGCTCCAGTCTTTTTATAGCATCCTCAAAAATAAGCTATAAGCAATTTGATATTCCTTAAAAATGCTTGATTAGACAAATAAAAGGAAGCATAAGCGTAGTCTAGCACTGATGATGTTACCTATTTGGATAAGGAAACGTCTGCAAGAAAGCAACCAAGGACCCTCCCCCTCCCAAAAAAGGTAGCATATAGATTGATAAAGGCATCTAGAATATTTCTGCACCTGCCTTTATAGTATACAGTAGGTGAACTGGCTATGTATTTCTGTGAATTATAGTAACTTCCGGTTGAAGTTATCTAATAAACAATAACAAATAGTGGTTCAGCTTAAAATAGTGGTTCTGCATCTGTCATTAGAGACTGGCTTTGTTCGTACAACTTATTAACTCTGTATTAAGTAAATTAGGGCTTGATCCAAATCTTTGAATTTGCACAACACCTAGATCTAGTCAGTAACTATGTTGGCTGCATACAATGCACTGAGCTAGTCAATAGCATTTTAGCCGGGGTGTTATAAAAACTCTACAGCTTCTATTTTCATATGAAATGTACAAAGGCTGATACTTTAGGGAGGAACCACATTAGGAAACAGTTGTTCCATATTGAATCCTGTGCTGTATTAGCATACTCCAAACCCTCACAAACTGATTGGTCCAGACGGACAGCGACCTGATTGGTCGAACCCCCGCCCATGATTGGAGCGCTAAGAATCTACCGCGATTGGCTGTGCTGATCGCGGGAGATTCAAAGCGCTGCCATTGGCCGCCGAGCCGCGAGCCAGCCCTATATGAAGGGCTGCCGTGGCTTGTATTTTCAGACTGTTCCTATTCTAAATAAAGAGCTGAACTCACTAGAATGGTCTCGCGTCTCCTTCGAACCGATCCACGTCAGATCTAACACTGGCGACGAAGGTGGGATCGTGAGACAAAGAGACCACCCAGCACGTGGCGAGGCGACACTCAGCAGCAAGCAGCATGGCCGGCATCAACTCACCACCCGCACCCTTCAATCCCGCTACTGAGGACTGGGAATCCTATACCGATAGGTTCCAGATGTTCCTTGAGAGTAGCAATCTTAAAGATGCCAACGGCCACAAGAAACGGGCCGTATTCCTCACACACTGCGGGCCGGCAGTGTTTAAAATGGCCAAAGCCTTGGCCAAGCCGGAGGACATCAAGACCATGGAGTGGGGCGACCTCGAGCCCCTGCTACAAAGCCACTATGCCCCCGTCATGCCCATCCTCATCCAGTGGCACGATTTCTACAGGCGGGACCAGCGCAAGGGCGAGGGGCTTGGCGACTTCATAGCGGCACTACGAGATTTGGGTGGCCTGTGCGAGTTCGCCGACCTGGACGAGGCCCTGCGAGACCGCGTCGTCCTCAGACTCCGAGACCCCATTCTCCAGAGCTGCATCATGGCAAAGGGCGACATCTCCCTCGCCGATGCGCTCACAGAGGTAGCCGTTGCTGAAGTGGCCAAGAAATCAGCGGCTTGGATGCGGCAATCGAGCATCGCGCCACGAGCAGCAACCGGCAAGATGACACCGAACCCCGAAAGGCGACCCGAGATCGACCACCGGGACACAACCACGCACCACGGCGACATTGACTCCTCAGAAACCGAGGACGAGGAGGAGGAAATCCACCGCCTGCAAGCAGCACGAGGGCGACGGGAACCCCGAGGTCGTAAGTCGAGGTTCCAGTGTGCCGGCTGTGGAGGCGATCACCCCCGTTTGGACTGCCGGTTCCTCGATGCCGTTTGCTGACAGTGCGAGAAGCGGGGGCACATCGCCAAGGTGTGCAGAAATAAAAAACAATACAGCCCACGGCGACGAGATGGCAGCCCACGGAGGCAAGAGAACACCCCCACCAGATACCGAGACCGCCAGACGGAGAGCCGCTGGAGCCAAGAGGGTCGGAACAGGCGGCTCAACGAGGCAAGAGAAAGGGAGGAAACACACCAGACCGTCGTCGTCAGCCATTTCTCCACAAGCGACGCCAGAAAGGTATGCGTGATGGTGGGGATAGAAGACCAGCCATGCGACATGGAGGTGGACTCCGGGTCCTTCCTCTCCATGGTCTCATGGCACACCATCAAGTGCCTGGTTCCCTCCATCCGCCGCAAGGAATTAGAAGACCAAACACTAACCCTCAAAGACTACCAGGGAAACCGCATCCCTGTAGTTGGCAGAGGCCATTTTAAAGTCACCTTCAAGAACCA